CACTTGGAGCAGAAATGTGAGCAACCCACTCCAGCCCTTTTCCTTCAGCCTGTCTGATCCAGCTGATATCAGCATCACCATCTGATATTCCTGCATACGTGCAGGTCAGTTTGTGAGAATCTCCAGGCCGTTTTACCACTGGTTCAGACTCAGTGAGCGTCTGACTGCAAACACCTGGAAAAAAAAAGGTGTAATGAGAAACAAGCCACACATGAACCGAAGTATAAATACAGAAGAATGCAGATCTGTGTTATTCACCGGGAATGACTGACAGCAAAATAAATGTTATACTTGTAGTTAAAGTCATATTGAAAGCTTTTGTCTGTGTAGTTTGGCTGTCATCACTTTGCTGAGAAATTAATAAAGGCATGGAGATCAATATTTGCATAGACTCCTCCTCACAGTGCTAAAACAAAGAAAGGGGTCAAGACTGAAGAACTTTATTGTCATTATGCGAGTGAAATAACTAATTTACAGTTACAATAACCTTGTAATAAAAAGCAGTTTATCAGCTGAATTGATTTTTTATTAAATCTGTTGTTTTTGATTATAAACAAAAATAATAATTAAAGGAATCTTTTCTATAAAATTTCATTAACTGAGGAGGTAGAATTTGGACAAAATGAATGGCGAAGGACAAACCAATTATTAGAAGTCTGATACAGCTTATAAATATAAACAGAACTGGAAGCAGTCAATATTGAACACTATCCAACATAATTTATAAGAGGCTTGCATCATGTATCATGTAAAGGTTTCCATATTTAAATTGCAATAATGAATAAATAAATCAACAGATATATTTATTTTTCAATAAACTTTTAGTTGTGTATATAAATTCAATATTGGTTTATCTAAGTTCACTTTCAGGTTGTAAGAAAACCATGCTGGTGCACAGCGTTACTGAAAGTAGTCCTAGTTTCGAATACACTGGCCAGCTGGGCCCTTTCTGTGTTGTACTCCAGCTTCCTCCTGCAGCCTAAAAACATGCATGGGTTACATTCATTTGTAATTCTAAATTGGCCATTGGTGTGAATTACAGTCTGTCTTTCTGTGTTATTCCTGTGATTGTATACTGTACACCAGCGGTCCCCAACCTTTTTTGCGCCACGGACCGGTTTATGCCCGACAATATTTTCATGGACCGGCCTTTAAGGTGTCGCGGATAAATACAACAATATAAAACTAGTACCGGTACCGAAAAAAAGAAAATTTATTCGTAACCAGTGTTGGGGAGTAACGGAATACATGTACCGCCGTTACGTATTTAAAATACAAAATATGAGTAACTGTATTCCGTTACAGTTACCGTTTAAAAAGGTGGTATTCAGAATACAGTTACTTTGTTGAAATAAATGGATTACACTGCGGTACTTTCCTGTTTCATTTTGTCGCGGGTCAGGACTGTTTGGGTTTTGTTTGACAGCTACGTTCTGTTGTTCCAGGCGGCAGTGTTACGGTTGCCATGGTTACAGGGCGACGCTCTCTCTCTCTCTCTCTCTGCGACTGTGTGTTTCCTGGGTGAGAGAGCGCCTTTTCGTTGTTGTTGTTGTGCTAAGCTAACAGGCAGAATGCTACAAGCATAGCTCTAAAGAATGTAGCATCTTAGGCAGTGTAGTCCGTGTTGCAGGGAGAATGGACTGCCATACACGTCATGTGTCTGTGAGCGAGGAGGGAGAAAAAGGGGAGTGGAAAGGTACGAGTTGTCATCGAGCAAAAACGGGAGCTGGAAGCATGTAAATATAATAATAACCACTGCAGCCAAGAAGAGTGCCTGACGAGCCCAGTTGTAAGTAAGCTATTAAGACTCGACTGTACACTGTGTTCATGTTTTCCTCCGAAAACAATAAGTTCCGTTGGAGCAGTCTTTCAACGCCTCTCTCTGTCTCTCGCAAGAAAAGTTGACCCAGACAACAAAGTAAAGCTATTTTTCGGCTACGAGCCGACAGGGACCCCGCCGTATTAGTCAGAGGTCCCTTTACCACAGTTCGGAGTCGCGGACCTTCAGTAATAGTAATAAATCACACAGCAATAGTACATTCACGTTGTTGTAAAAAGCATGATAATATATTAAGTAATCCAAAGTATTCAGAATACATTACTGTCATTGAGTAACGTAACAGAATACGTTACAGAATACATTTTGGGGCATGTATTCTGTATTCTGTAATGGAATACATTTTAAAAGTAACCTTCCCAACACTGTTCGTAACACACGTGAAAAGACCCAGGAAAACAGAGTTAACGATAAAAGCGATAACAAAATAACGCTGAAAACCGATAAAACCCCTGAAAACCATACATTTCACACCTGAGCCTCAACTCTTGCGGCCCGGTACCAAACGACTCACGGACCGGTACCGGTCCGAGGCCCTGGGGTTGGGGGTCGCTGCTGTACACCCAGTCAGAGTATAGTATCCCTGCACTTGCATTTTAAAACTGTTATGTACTATTTATCAACTTTAATGAGCTTTTTTCTTTTGTTTGTTTTAAATATAACAATATATTATATTACAAAGGACTAACAATAGGGAAAAATAACTTATTTTTTAAAACAATTCAGCAGTTGTTAGTGATTAAAGTAGGGATTTTTAATGGTTACTTTTACTATCTAGGAGCTTAAATGTAATAAAATAACAATTTTAAGACTGTTATTTTTCGTGTACAATTTTTGTCTTTCATTATTTATCTTCAGACATGGTTCAGTGCTTCCCACACATACAACAGTTTCAGTCTGTTTGTCTCTGTGCTTTTCTTGCACAGAAATAAACTACAGTCCTCTTATTTGAGTGTCTTCATCACTAAATTCACACGATTTTGAGAAGTGTCTTTGGTGATGGAAAACTGGCCTTGGAGACTTTGGGCAAATGATGTGCCAGTCCCATCATGAATACTTCCAATCCTTTCTCCTAAGCTCTGGTTTTTGTCAAATCCAGTGCAACCAAGTCGGAGAGAGTCCTTGAACTCTCCATGACAGGTTAACTGATTGTCCTGGTCTGCTGACCACTGACAAGGTGAGAGACTGACAGTGAGCAGCTGAAAGAGATACAGAGTTTATATGATGGGAAGGAGCTGACATCCAGACATTCTCTTTCTATCCTGATACAGACTTCACACACCTGAAATGAGAGACAGAAGAAGCACACTCCATACAATGGCCATGGTCATTACCTGGTGAGACTTCAACTGTAAATGGTGATGTGAATGAGAGATTTTGATGCTGTGTAGGCAGAGTGGGTGGAGATTTGCTTGTCTGTGTATCTGAGAATCAAAATAAGACAGAGAGAGAGAGAGACAGATAACAGTTTGTTGCAACACTACCAATAAAATACATTTTGTATTGTTACAGTGAAGTTTTTTTTAAAAATGTGTTCGATCCTCATTTGGCATGTGGATGTGTAGGGAGTAAGAATGTGTTAGAATGTGTTGAAATGTCACATATACAGAGATTTCCAGATGAAGAATGATTTGTCATTGGTGTATTAACGTGACTACCAAACGTTTCAGGCACAAGAATAAACAACAGTCTTCTCATGCAATGACATGGTGAGTTCGTTAAAACAAAACAAAACAAAACAAAACACACATGGCTGTGAGGCCACCACTGATCTATCTGATTAAAAGCTGTTCTAACGTCTCTGTTTATATTCACAGAGGCGAGAAACTTGTCATTGTATGCCCTCTAGTGTTTAACATTATTTTTCTGTAAAATCCCCCCTCCAATAAATAATTTCAATGAGGACTTACTGTGAACCGTAAAGGTTCTTCTTGGTGTTAAGTGATCAGTGGAGATCATGTGGTCAATTCTTGTGTTTTTAGCTTTTTTTAAAAACAAAATTGCCACAAAAGAATTATGCTCTCAAAATAGATTTTGTGTCAGTGCCTTAAAAAGACAGAGAAAAAGGGGTAAATAATAATAAAAATACAAATAAAAAATAATATCTGGTTTTAATACTTAAAACTAAAACCATATTCTGTTCTCAGATTGAGAACCACACACATTCACCCTGATTTGTTTAAAAGGACAAATAGAGAAGGTTTGTCTGGGAAAACAGCTGATAATTTGGCCTACTGACATTTTTCAGTGCTTATTTTGGCATTAACAGGAAGAAAAGTGAATGTTCTCATAAAATGTGAAATTCTGAGAACAAACTTTATGACAAGAGTCATATTGATTAGCTATTTAACAGACTACTTACAGTATCTTGATTTTACCCCTGGGTAACAAGCTACAAAGGAACTAGGGCAAGAGTATGTAATTTATTTTCTTGGTTAATTAGGCAATACTACACAAAGTTTTTAAAAACTTTAAAATTGTTCAGCCACATAAAATCAGTTTCCACAAGAAGAACATTGTGTAAAAATGAGTGTGTGTAAAAGTAAAAAAAAAACAGACAAACAAACAAAGATGAATACATAGAAGACAGACAAACCAAACTGCCCTTAATGCACATAGTGTCTGATTCTAAGAATTCTGCCTGTCACTACTGAACTTTATATACTTTATAAATCACAGCAATGTCCCTGCATTATTTGAACAGTTTGAACTTTTCCTATATTTCAGTTAAAGTGCGTTTTAACTCCAGTCACTGATTTGTGTCTTGAAATGACCTCTTCATCTTCTTTCTCACACAGAATGGTGATTAATGATAAGCCACATTGTTGAAGGAGCCGAGCTCTGTGTGAGCATTGTATAATTTAACATAACAACACTGGATACTTTTCTCTCTATCCTGTCTGCAGTAGAGGAGTTGGCAAATATAACATCAAAACAAAATCTCAAAATAATACTAAAATACACTATCATTACTGCTATTACTATGATAATCTTTACAGAATTATAGTATACCCTGAACTCCTGTGGTTATTTCTGTTAGTGATTATGACAACAAAACTGTTGTACCAACAATGTCTGCCATTATATGTGAGAATAACTTTAGTCATATTTTTAACAAACTTATGTTATGCTGGATTTTGTACAGCTGGTCAATCGGCTCCACTCACTGTGGTTCTCGAGCACAGTAATAAACAGCAGAGTCTTCAGTCTTCAGGCTGTTCATCTGCAGATACAGCTGCTCTTTGCTGTTGTCTCTGGAGATGGTGAACCTGCCCTGAACTGACTGAGAATAATAGATGTAAGCACTGTCATATCTGATACTGGCAACCCACTCCAGTCCTTTCTCAGGAGCCTGTCTGACCCAGGCCATCCTGTTGCTGCTGAAGTCAATGTTGGAGCCTGTACAGGTCAGCCTGTGGGATTCTCCAGGTCTTATAGCCACCGGTTCAGACTGTGTTATAGTCTGACTATCAACACCTAGAAGATCAAAAAAAGAAAAAAAGTCATTTGCAATAAGATAGTAAGACAAAAAAAACAAAAACAAAACATTTTTTTATTCATAAGAGAAAAATCTTCACCTGCCACAAACAACGTTAAAAGCAGCAGTCCTGCCCTGAAGTCCATGCTGTTAAACTGTTAGTGCACTGCTCTTTGTCATCCTCTCTGCTGACAGATAAGTAGACATGAAAGACATCTGAGTTTTGCATTGACTCAAAGTGAGGAGGGGTTAACTTGGCCCTCAATTGGTAAGCATGAATAGTGTTAGAACAGAGACATAGATGAATTCAATTCAATATTTGAATATTTTGTTGTGTTTTTTTTTTTTTGTTTTTTTGTTTTGTTGTTGCTTTTTCATGAATTCATGTCCCATTGAAAACTCAGTGGTTTTGGCACAGTTAAAACTGCTGTGTTCATCTGCAGATAAACTTTACTGGTAGAATCATCTCTGGTGATAGTGAATCTGTTCTGGACTAACTGGGAGTAAAAGTTACATATTAAATCCAGATGTTGTATGGATGAGCCTGTGGGACTGTTGAGGTCTGTGACTTCATAAGCAATCTGCTTGAATCCTTTAGTCTCTCTGATCCAGTTTCACACATGAGTCTGTGGAAGTCAAATCCAGATGTTGCACAGGTGAGTCTGTGGGACTCTCCAGATCTTTTAACAGCTGCTTCAGACTCTGTTAAGGTTTGAGATTTAGCACATCTTGAAACAATGGCAGCAACCACCAGAAATGTTAGCTTTCTGTAAGTTAACAGTGTGATGGGTGTGTTGTTAGGGCTTGGTGAGTAGTAATGCAGAAAGGCAGGTGAGCCCTTTATTGAGCTCATTTGAAAACTAGACATGAGCATAAAGCCTTCAACTGGTGGTCACACCACAGGCCCACACTTGGATGTTCAGATCTCAATTTAATCACAGAGTCCCTTCATTCTCCACATACCAGTGACAGAGTGTAAATACAGAGGCTGAAAGGACTTTGTTTAAGCACACACATCTCTTAGCAGTGCAAAAAAAAAAAGCCAGGCAGCCATCATGTGTCTGTCTAACCACTCCACAAAGAGTGTGGATAACTTGCATTACTGTGGGATTTCAGAAATGAGATAGCTAATCCAATAGTTAATCCTTTATCTTATCCAGAAGTTTTTTTATGAAATACATTTTCTATTTGAAGTATTTATCAATCAATATTGATTGATAAATAGTGAGCCACTGTCTTACATGGTGGCCGGGAGAGGCAGGAATAATAAGCCAATAATAAGCCAAGAGTGGAGCCAACAGTGAGCTCCACCCAGGCGAGCGAGACAGAAGAGAGAGAGACTGAGGGAGAAAAAACAACAACAAATACCTCTAGCCTGTTCAAGCCAGCCGGGGAGACACAGGGACCATGACACATGTGTTTGAACACCAGACACAGTCCATGCAGAGATGCCCCAGCTGACCAGTAAATTTGAACCCATGGTTTCTTGCTGTGAGGTGACATAAAACCACCAGAAAATAACCATGTCCCTGTTTATTTACTGTTTTAATTAGGTGGGAGTAAAATTGACCATTGGCTATGATGAGGTGTGTCAAGAGATGTATTCTAAGACACTTCTTCAGCTGAGAATCAGAGAGGAGAAACACACAGTTTTACTTGCATGCAAGGGCAGCACAGAACACTCGCATGGGAGTGAGGGCTCCGAGGCTGGCGCTCTGCCACTGCCCTGGTCTTTATTTTATACATCAGTAGGTGCGTTTGTTCTTTACATTGGAATGTGGATGTGTATACGTGTGTGTGTGTGTGTGTGTGTGTGTGTGTGGGGGGGGGGGGGGGGGGGGGGGGGGGGGGTCAGAGTGTGACCCCATAAAGACTTCCCTAAACCTGCTGGTCTGGAAGTCCAGCAGTTCATCTAAACAAAAGGCACTTAGACTAAAACTGGCATAGCTACGTTTATCCTACCATGAAACAATAGGAGAAGATACAACCTCTCCCATGTTCCCAGGATGTGGGTGTGAATGCCAGAACACTCTGGAATGCACACAAAGTCTTGTAGTGAACAACAGCCTAAGTCATCAAAAGGTCAACATGCAGTATTCTACCATTTGCAAACTTATATCATTAAAAGATTATACTGACTACTAAGTACAATTTTCTATTGACAATCGGTGAAAACCTGACCACAAGCACTTGAAAGACAAACAGAATTTGACATCCAAACAATTGAACATGTGAATCCAGCGAAACCTCCTCAGGATCCAGCAGCCTGCAGTAGTATCAGAGCTAACATGACCATTGTTGATGTGGTCAATGCTGAAGATGAAATTATAAAACAAACTTGATCACAACAATAACAACAAATATTCCCTATCACATAATATCTGACATAAAATTGTGATATATAAATATAGTAAATGTAGTAAAGAAAAGCAAACTTGCAAAGTAAACATTTGACTTTCTATCACTTTATAATATTTTGTGATATAAATATGAGGCCAATAAATGTATAGAACATTTAAGGCTAGTTAAAAAATAATATGAAGAGAATTCTGACCATCAGCATCACAAAGTGACATCTGCAGTGCTTCGTGTACAGCTCTGTGGCTTCCTGTTTCACTGTGGCGTTCGAGCACAATAATAAATGGCAGAATCTTCAGTTGTCAAGCTGCTCATGTGCAGATACACTTGATCCACATTATTGTCTCTAGAAATGGTGAAGCGATTCTGGGCAGATGTGGAATAGCTTTTAGTGCTCCCACCCGGAGCAGAAATGTAAGCAACCCACTGCATCCCTTTTCCTCCAGCCTGTCTGATCCAGCTGATAGCAGCATCACTATCTGATATTCCTGCATATGTACAAGTCAGTTTGTGAGAATCTCCAGGGTGTTTTATCACTGGTTCAGACTCAGTGAGCGTCTGACTGCATGAATGCAGAGCTGTGGTAGTTACCAGGAATCACTGATAGCATTGAAGCATTATAGATGTAGATAAAAACATATTGAAAAGTTGTTGTCTGTCTCATTTACTCGTCTTCACTTTGTTGTGAACTAATTAAAGATTGGCAGATCAATATTTGCATGAACTCCTCCTTAAAGTGTCCAAAAACAAGTAACACATTAAAATGCATTTAAATGAAACCTGTTGATAAGAGGTTAGACCTACTTACTAAGAGTGTGGTTTTGTTGATTGTAAATGTCGTATTAAAGTAAAAGCTTAATATTTGTAGGGTCTGGTGATTTAAAAATTTGAGACATGTCCAATAGAACAAAGAACAATAATAAATGAAAGAATCTTTTTCCAAGCTGTTAATATGCAGATGCTCCTGATCCTGAGTGTTGTCTCTGGAAATGGTGAAAAATGTGGAATAATATGTATCGCTTCCACTCGGACCAGAAATGTAGACAACCCACTCTGCCTTTAGCTTATTGGAGCTTATGGCTTTAGCTACCCACACCAATTCTCTGAACTTCGTGAGTTCATTTATAAAACAAGCTTTATATGTATTTATTTTTTCAAGATTTTATATCAAATGAGAGTTGGAATTAATATTTTCCTTTTGTGCTAAATTTATGCAGTTTCACTGTCTTCACTGATCAAATTTCCTGCAACTGGCTGTGAGTGAAATGAGCTGAAGGCACAAGATAACTTACTTCTTTCAAAACAGTTTGGCAGCTGCAAGTGAACAAATTTGGGATTTTTTTTTTTACGGTTTAATGTTTCTATCTAGGGGCTTAAATTTAGGACTGTTACGTTTCATATACAACCTCAGCAGTCACAAAGGTGATGTCTTACAAGTCCAGCTAGTTCTATACGATTTAATGACCACACCATTAGACAATTGTATTTTTACTCATTTGTTTCATGGATAACTCCATCAGTATTTAACTCACTAGGCTGAAATGGTTCGGTGGTCCTCACACACACAGTTTTTGCATGGCCTTTCAGTCTCTTATTTCACTGTGGCTATCGTGCACAGTAACAAACAGCAGAATCTTCCTGTTTGAGGCTGTTCACCACTAAATTCACACGATTTTGGGAAGTGTCTTTGGTGATGGAAAACTGGCCTTGAAGACTTTGGGCAAATATTGTGCCAGTCCCATCATCAATGCGTCCGATCCATTCTAGTCCTTTCCCAGGTTTTTGACGAATCCAGTGCAACCAAGACAGAGCGATTCCTTGAACTCTACAGGACAGAGTGACTGATTGTCCTGGTCTGCTGACCACTGGCTCTGACGAGGTGAGAGACTGACAGCAAGCAGCTGAAAGAAATAGAGAGTTTATATGATGGGAAGGAGCTGAGATCCAAATATTCTCTTCCTATCTTGTCTCTTCCTAACAGACTTCACTCACCTGAGATGAGAGTCAAAAGGAGCAGACTCTGTACAATGGCCATGGTCATAACCTGGTGTGGATTTCAACTGTAAATGCTGATACGAATGAGAGATTTTTATGCTGTGTAGGCAGAGTGGATGGGTATTTAGGTCAGGTTGAATTTGCCTGTTTGTGTATCTGACATGCAGTTAAAGAAAGAGACACAAAACAAGTTAACATTTTGTTGCAACACTACATATAAATACATACAGCAAAATATATTTGCATTGTCAATTTGTGATTTTTCTTAGTGTGTTTAATATTTTTTTATGTGTGTTAGTTATTTGGAAGTAAGTATACTAGAATGTTTTGTCAGCTCTCTAATATAGTGTAAGCTATACTATCACAGTAATGAAATGTCACAGATAAGGAGGTCGACAGTCAAATGATGTTCAGGTTTTCAAGCACCAGAATAAACTGCAACAAAAATGATTGCACGGTCACTGTTGAACTACCTGTTGAAAACCTTTTTGTCGTTTCTTTGGATACTGGCAGAGGTGAGGAACTTGTCATTATGTGCCCTCTAGTGTTCAACATTGTTTTTCAGTACAACCCCCTCCCCAGTGCCCTTCCACTGTCTTATTTTTGCTATTTGTTCCCAGACAGTTATTCCAGTGGCAGGTATATCCTTTATGAACAGTGGAGGTTGCAGGTTTTAAGTAATTATTAGAGTTAATATGTCGAGTTCTTTTGTTCATACAACAGGCTCATACAAACTCACAATTCATAACATATCATTCTTCTTTTTGCTTCCTTCTGTAAATAAAACAATTCATTTACTCTATGTTCTGTTTTGTCTGTTTGTTTCATACTGCATCAGCCAAAATCTACATCCTAGTTATAAAAGCAAACCTATATAGTGAATGTGGTTTAATATAAGCGTGCTAGTTGTTAAGCTGTACTGATAGTTTGAATCATTTTGGTATTGAATAGTACACTAAAGAATCATCTGTGTATTTGGGTGAGACAGATAGATTTATGATACATTGTGACTTCTCTGTGGAAGATGAAGTAGAAACACATTTGTTAATTCATGTTCATATTCAAATTTACATTATCCATGTCTTTTTGCACGTCTCTTGGTGGCTTGGACTACTGTATCCCTAACATGTAAACCATTATAAGAGACGGTTTCAGTTCAATTCAGTTCAATTTTATTAATCTAGTTTCAAATCTAATGGGATCCTCCAGGCCTTTTAACCACTGGTTCAGACTGTTTTGTAGTCTGACTATCATCATCTGTCAGGTTAAAAATAATAAAAGAAAGTGATCTTCTTTTATAACATAATGTTACATTCCCCCCACCATGGCGGAGGCAAAGGTAGGAAGGAGACAGCAACACTGGACAACCACAATCAATGAAGGAGGAAGACCACAGAACAGTTAAGTATCAGGCAGGATTTATTGGGTGCTTGCCTGGATAGTCAAACTTAACAGTAAAGAGGTGGGGGAGGAGGACTGGGCGGTTGATCCAAATCAAAGAAAGTAATAAAACAAAAAGAGGTCAGTAGCTTCCAGGGCCTAGCCTAACTGAAAGAAAAATGCAAAACAAAAGGCCTACCTAGCTACTCGATAAAAGTCAGTGAAAACATACAAGGGTGGCATCAACCGCATAACCTAGTGTGACTAACAGAGTAAAATCTACAACCAGTGTATAGGGTACCCCGGCTTACCTGTCCAGCCTCCCACCACACACAACATAAAGATGCCTGTTCGCAAATGTTTGTCAAAGCAGAAGCCAGCAGCCACCAGCTGGCCAGGGAGCGGCTCATTTGTAGTGTTCCTTGGAGTGTGATTGGCCAACTGAGCCCAGTCCAGCCAATAGACACCTGCCAATCAACTTCGAACTGGCCAATCAGAGGAGGCCTGACGCCTGAAAGATGAATAGAACACAAAACAGAGTACAAAAGCAAAGCCACACCCCTTGGCACGTAACACATAATAAGAGTCATTATAAGTGAAAAATCTTCACCTGCCAAGAACACAGTTAAAAGCAGCAGTCCTGCCCTGTAGTCCATACTGTTAAACTGAGTCCACTGCTCTCTGTCATCGTCTCTGCTGTCAGATAAGTAGACATTAACCCCTCCTCACTGGAATGACTCAATTGTAATTAATTTGGGCATCATTTGGTCAACATGTGTTAAATTTAGACATACTTAAACCACATTTAGTATGTCTCTAATATAACTCAAAGTGCTTTTAGTGCACTCAAATTAATATTTTACTTTTTTTTTAAGTCTTTGTAACATTTTCTAATTTATATAATTTGAAACATTTCCATATTTCATGAAACATTTACTTTGAAATTCAAGTCTTTTTGTTTTTTTTTCAATTTCATTAGAAAGATATTGAAATTAGATATAAAAAGAAAAATCTTCTTTATCATAGGGACAAACAAAAATACATCCTATAAGGTTTTCAATAAGATGGAAGACAATATTGTTCTGGCACAATAAAAAAAAAATGGCTGGCTGTGGAGACTTTACTACTGGAATGAAGAATCCATGAATCTGCCCTGGACTGACTGTGGGTAACAGATACTACATTAAAACCAGATGTTATATGGATGACTCTGCTATGATCTGACAATCAACACACCTTGGAACAATGACAGCAACCACCAGAGTGTAAGCCATGTTAACAGTATCCCTGGTAGGTATTCCATCCATACATCAATGAAACAATCCATAATGACACAAAGTGATGACCACTGATACACACTTTGGTCACCTGAAATGAGGGCCAAAGTTGCATGCTCTGTTCAGTGTTGTTGTACTTGGCTGAGACTTCAGCTGTGAAGCCTGAAATGTATGATAGGTATAGGGGTAGAATGGATGTTTGAGTGTGCTTATTTATGAGTCTGAGGTGCAGCTTGAGAAGGACACAACCTGTGGTTTACAAAATACTGAGACATGTTGCAACTACACAATCAATAACACTATTCATTTCTGAAAGTCTTTCAGCATGTGTGAATTTGTTAATAACTGGGAGTAAGAATAAATCACACACAGCTGTGTGTTAAATTTAATCAAATGAATATACTTGAATATACTTGGGAGTTGTGTGTTAGGGAAGAAGTGAGCAGTGACTGTTAATTCATGTCATTTTTTCATGTCGTTGTTGATATTCAAGTTTACACCATGCATGACTTGCAGGTTTCTGAGTATTTGTGCAGGTCTCTTGGTGTTCTGGATCACTGTGTCACTAACACGCAAAACAGCTGTGTCCTCGGTCTGCAGATTCTGTCCTGTTATTGTTGCTGTTCTGGCAGAAGTGTCTCTGCTGTAGCTGAACTTGTTCTTTAAATCACAATTTAAATGATGAGAAATCCAGTCCATTGCTTTTCCTTCACGCTGTCTGATCCAACCTGTTGCATAGCTGTTATCAGTCATAGAATAACCAGAAACCTGGCAGGTGATGGAAAAACTGTCCCAGCTGCACAGACCTTGAGTCTGGCTGAATGAGATCAATACTGTACACACCTGTGGAAACAGAAATTAACATTACACCCATCATTCATCTGACAATTAAGTATTTCTAATATATTTATATGAGGGAATTTACTAAAAGCTCCTCACATGATCCAGCAGCCAGCAGCAGTATCACAGCTAACATGATTGATGCTAAAGAGGAAATCTTTAAGCTGATCTGTCTTTTCACTGACAGGCAGACATCACTCTGCGACATCACTCCCTTTTAAGTAACTATTATTTGCATATTCTTGAATATATTAAGTTTTGATCCATTTAAGGTATTAGCAGTATATAGACAATTTGTTTTTTTTTTGGTTTTTTTTGGGTTTTTTTTGTCCCGTTTGGATCTATAGCCATCAGAATTGTTGTCTTAAGGCCAAGAAAGATGCCAAGCGGATTTATTTTACCAAGTGGATCATCATGGCCTTGCCATATTGGTCCATTTGATTGACCTTTATTATAATTATGAATTTATTTTATTTTCAGTTGCTACAGACGGGACAGACATGACTGTGGGATAGGACAGAGGGAAAGAATGAAAGAAAGAGAGGGAGAGAAAGAAAACCAAAGGGGAGAAGAGACGGTGAGAAGGGGGGGAAGAGAGAAAAAAAAAACAAACAAAAAAAAACAAAACACCTGGGTCACCTGTATGGAGAAAAAAAAAACAGAAGAGAAAACAAACAACAAAGAGCAACATAATAAGAAAAAAAAAGCACCATCACAATGTGGTTATAAACTAGCTAGCAGTAGATATCAATAGTTACTAAATAATAAACGATATTGTGCAGCACGCAAGATAGACAGCGCACAATGTGCTTTGAGGCAGCAGCCAAGAAAGGTGTAGTCCGCGTCTGTGAACACCCGTGTGTACACCTGTGTGCATACCTGTGTGGATCAGCATGCTTGCATTCCAAAGGTTTCTCCATGTAATGATCTGCTAGGGAGTGTGGGGAGCCACAGCCCTGTCCTCCATGGTATGAAGCAGGTATGGAGGAGATCAAAACTCCAGACATCCAGAGGCCCCCAGAACACAAGAGACCAAGGACCAAAGACAATTTGTTTTAAATGTAATGTATTGTTATAATTCTTTGTTCAATTGAGCGAATCTGTTATGTCCAGAACACACAGTCCCAGACTGACAGATGTCACTGACTTTGGTTCTTAGCTGTTCCTAACTTTCTTTAGATCGTGGCATGATGTGTTGCTTTTTAAATTTTTTTGTAGCCTAATGCACTTTGTCATACAGGTCATTTTTAAATGATTTTAAGAAATTGAACTCATTATCAAAAAAAATGTGGTTATTCTCAATCGGTAAAAGGCTTGTCATTGCATGCTCTCTAGTGTTGAACAGTTATGTGTGTGAGCTCCACCCACTAATTATGGTGGATTTTGTACAGCCATTCAACCAGCTCCAGTCACTGTGGCTCTCGAGCACAATAATAAACAGCAGTGTCTTCAGTCTTCAGGCTGTTCATCTGCAGATACAGCTGCTCTTTGCTGTTGTCTCTGGAGATGGTAAACCTGCCCTGAACTGACTGAGAATAATAGATGTCACCACTGTCATATCTGATACTGGCAACCCACTCCAGTCCTTTTCCAGGAGCCTGTCTGATCCAGCCCATCCAGTAGCTGCTGAATTCAATGTTGGAGCCTGTACAGGTCAGTCTGTG